CTGTACCCAACTTCTTTGACCCAATTAATTTTGTTAATATCCAAATTGAAAGTTACTCGAGCATGGCAGAAGTGGACCTTGGAATATCAATTTATTTTTTTTGTTCAACCATCAGGGGTATTTATGCTAATTTATGAGCATCTCAATTGATATTTTTCCCGATTTGGTTAAAGGTAAGTCATTCGCGTTGGAATTAGAGTATTCACGAGAGATAAATTCGTCATTACCTGACCCTAAAAAGTTATCAAGATTTAAACTCAAGATGCAAGGGCAACTCAAGATAATTTGAGACCTAAAATAAAAACATTAAATGAGGTCTTTTTATTTTTACTATTAATTTTTTAAAAAAACTAACTAATTTTTATTTTTTTTTATGTAAGAGAGAGAAAAAATGATGTGCTGGTTTGTTGAAAAACAGTTTCAACTTTTGTTTGTGTTTCTTATCAGCGAGAGAGAGTTGACTGTTGAATTGACTTTTGAATACTTTTTTATTTTTAAATTTTAAATTTTAAAATTTTTAATGTTATGAATTGGATTATGGGGCCAAAATTATTGTAATAAAAATTTTAATTGAACTTAATTTTTTAGATTTTTTAAAACTATGCTTTTAGGGCTTAAAATTTTTTGTGAGTTAATAATATATCTAAAATTACGAGGCATTCTTAAAATTTAAAGCCTATAATACTTACCTGGGGTCAATGGGTGATCACGAAGGCCATGGCCTAGGTTGGCGACCTCCATTGCACTCAGGAGGGGCGCCGCCTAAGATCTACCCAAGTGGTGGAGTCTACGTCATAATTTGTGATAGTGGGTGTCTCTGTTCGCGCAGCCCCTATGAAAAAAAAAATTTAAAGCCTATAACTTAGACTTTATTTTTCATACATGAGCCAACCCTCTCAAAACAGCTGAATTTACTGATTGTCCTTTTTTATTTACTAGTTGTACGTTGTACGTGGACAATTTTTATCTATTATCTTAAATTTTATTTGTGATAACTAAAGTACAAAAAAAGACAACACAAACTGAATTATTTGGGTAACACTCTCCAATGTTGATTTTTTGTACAATTCATAAGACCAAACTTAGTAGTCATGGTGGGGCAACAAAACCGCAAAAGTTTGAGAGGAAGACAAGATAAAAGAAAAAGACATGTCAAGTTGATCAAATAACTTGGACTATAGATAAAACTCACACTCAAAAACTATGAACCACTGTAATAAGATCCAATGACCCAACCGTGATACAAAGAAGAGGAGTAACTCAGAAAGTTTGCATGGAGCACACTTGAGCCTTCTCTATTTGTGTTTATTACTGATGTAAGTTTTATTTAGCCCATATCGAAATTATTAAACTCACAGAATAAATTTATATTTTCACTAATAGTTATTTCTTAACAAGAACTATAAATTGAAAATTGGGTGCCTAGCTTCTTATGCATGGAGTTAGGAAAAGGAAATTCGAAAAAATAGAACAATGGTGTCCATCATGAAATAATGATTTTTCCTCTTCAATTGAATAATGATTTTTCCTCTTCAACTGAATACAAGGCACATAAGAACATTAAATAAAAGAATTTCTAATAGTTGTACTAGAATTCCACCACTTTTATGCGTACACTTCACATAATCCTACTGATAAAATATACTAAAACTACCCAACAAGACAAGACAAGTGTATTAAAGCTTCTAAAAAACACAGACCGCAATAAAGCACATTCATTAACAAAACAAAACAATATCAACACAAAACATATATAACATAAAACATCAATTATTAGAATCCTGAAATAAGAATATCTTGCTATGATGCTAAACTATCTGGCTAACGATTTAGTAGTTGAATGAAAAAAATGAAACTATTGTTTAGAGGACAAGGATTTAAATTATGAACATGTATAATCTCACCAGAAGCACAAAACAATACTGGAACATTAACTTTAATTTGAAAATATAATAGAATAATACCTAGCTGGGTTTGTTCTCATGATAAGCTTTATAGACTCATCATCCATCTCCAACCTCAAAGTTTCTGAAATAGCTAGTATATAAAAAGGCATCGGAGGCTTGGAGCAGATCATCTTCATTGTCAAGGATAAAAATGTCCTTACAATATCAGTGAAGCATAGAATATCAAAGATAAATTTGTAATTACATTCCTAATTGAACGAGACTCATTGGTTAGAAATCTGAACAAGGCTAATACAAATGTCTTTTTTGAGTTTATGAAGGGGAAAAAAGAAAAGTAAATATTTTTCATGTTAAGCCACTTTTGGAAGTAGTATAGATTTAAAGAAAAGTAAATTTTTTTTTTCTTACATGGGCGCATCCCAACACGTGTACCTATTGGCCTATTCCATACATCGAGATGGCAGCGGGCCCGGTAAAAATGAGTATTCGTCCAAATCCGTTTCGTTTGGATCGGAGATGGACCATATATATTGGACGATAGACGTATACGAGAATAACCGTATAAACCTGTGCGGGGATAGACTGATACTTACACTCGCCCTGCCTCTCTCCCACCCTGCTTTACCCGTTATTATTATTATTATTTTATATTAATATTAATATTATATATATATATATATATATATATATATATATACACATGTTGTTGTTGTGAATATAAATCTATATATTATTGAATGATTTTTTTCTTTTAAAAATTATTTTGTTTTTTTGATTTTTTTCATATTTTTGGCTCGTAAAAGTGTAGAACTTTGTGTTTTTATGTTTTTTTTTTTATGTTGGATTATATTATGTTTTATTATGTTGTAGACAATATTTTAATTATATTATGTTAAATTATTTAAAATGTTAGATTAATTTAAAATTTTAGATTATATTGACTTGGACTTGAACTAGGTAAGGTGGGCGGTGGGCGGGGGGCAAAAATTACAAATTTACTCGCGGACGGGATGGAAATAAAAATTATACCCATTAATAAAAGTGAATTGAAGATTGACAAAGTTTTTTTAAGTAAGTATGGAGATAGAGACTTCACCCTCGTGTCGACTTCAGTCCACTACCATCCCTATCCATACGCGAACACAAGTTCGTTCGGTGCGAAAATTGGGCCATAAGGCTATTCTGGTTGGTCCAGGCTGGCAAGGTAACCATAGAAAAGTTCATATTGATTACTCCGAGTTGAACCAATTCTATTAGAATATTGGGCCTCCAGCTAGAGGCCTATATTCAGGCCCAGTATCATAGCCCCTTATCCTACAACAAACGGGTCTTCTCCATGATTGTAGACAAGGTTGTTAATTACCTTAATTCAATTTCTTTCTATTGCTTAAGCTTATGGTGTTAAGATAAAGTACTCGGGATGGATAGCCAAAAAATATTAAAATATTAATTTATAAAATACCCTATAATTACAGGATAAAATTTTATAATTTAAAAAAATGAAAATTAGCTCATGCAGTTACTCTCCTGATCCACTCTCTCTGACCCTAACCACAGGATTTGGTAGTCTAAGTCTTAGGTTAAGTGGGAACCACTGGGGATACTATGAAGATCATGATTAGATAAAGGATTGGACACGAATTGAAACAGAGTATGTAATGGGAATCAAAGAATATGAAGGAGTTTGAAAATTTTGCAGATTATAAAAGGGGTTCTGGAATTTTGCAGAAATGTGTGTAGCCCACCCCTTAGAAAAACGAGTCTGGGGAATAACTTATAATTTAAGAAAACTATTAGGCAATTCAAATAAAATTTTAAAAGTATAATTCAAATGTATTTCATCCCTTTGATGAGTATTGAATAAATGGGTCTGATTGAAAAAATTGATAAAATTCACACATCTAATGAATGATATGCATTTCGATTTTAATTTTTTAAATTTTATCTGAATCATTTAGCATTAGTTGTACTTTAATATCTTTTTGAATCAAACTTCTTGTTGTAAAAAAGCGGTGTTATTCCCCTGTTTCTTAATGATTTCTCTCTCCTTTTCTTGTTGGATTTAAAAGGAATATGGTTTTTGATTAATTTATCTGTCGAATGTCTTTTCACTTGTCTTTCTTATTGTTATTGCTTTTTATAACATTAGTAATAAAAATTTTAACTAGTTTCGGGTTACAAATTTGACCATAAAAGAGATCGAGGGAGAATTGGTTATATTCTACACGCATGTGTCAGATTGAAAAATCTCAGTGGAGGCTATTTTTTTTTAAATATTGAAATAAAAGCAAGGGCCACCAGAGAACATCTGAAGACTATCCCGATAAATCTTTATTGATAGAATCATAAGACCTCTGATTACACCAATTATTTTTTATGGGAACGAACCTAATTAAATTAGCATAACAATCAATCACTAAATCTTAATGTAAATTCTAATACTCGAACATTCAAATTAAAAGTAAAAAATTTGATCGCTAGTACCCTATTCGATGGTCTCAATTAAGACTTCAATTCAGATGGGTTTAAAGATACATTCTGAATGTCTTTTTGTTAAAAACAACAAATCAAGTATTCTCAATTTTCTTAAAAAGAATAAAACATCTTCTAGAAAAACCTAACAAAAACATCATGTCCCCCTCCACTAATCTTTCTTTTCTTATTTGTTGCAAATAATAATCTCACATGTGAAATAAAACCCACCCCAATACATGAACCAAAAATAAGTAACTGTTCGTTTTTTTATTAAGAGTTACGGGTATTCAAATGAGTTTATATATTTGAGGTGTTTAAATTAATTTATGTATATTTTTATTAATTTTTTATTTTTTCTGATTAAAGATAAATTATTCACGTTAATACTAAAATATTCATGAAAAATAAATTCAGCATAATCTAAACTCTTAAAATTATCAAAATTTAAAGTTAAAGTTAAAGGGGTTTAAATTTATAGTCGGTGCATGTTACCCGTCAGTAACTTTCCAACCGGACAACACACCCATTGGGACGCCAAATCCACTTTGGTAAGTCAATATCAAAGCTTTCGTCAATCATTCGATCTCTTGTAAGTTATAACCCGCCTTCTTCCTAACTTCCATTCTCCAATCTCTATCTCTCCACCTTGTCCGCGTTCATACCAACTCCCATTTCCTTTGACCCTGTCCACACCCCTCTTCAGTTTCCTCTCTGTCGTCTGTACCCTTCTCTCTCTCTCTTGCACTTCCTCTCTACAATGTTGATGCTAGTGAATTGTTCAAACTGTAGGACACCATTACAGCTCCCACCAGGGGCCAAGTCAATCATATGCGCCGTGTGTCACGCCATCACTCACATCACCGACCCTCGCAGCGGCCCACCGCCACCACCTCCGCCGTACTCCACCTCCAACTACCATTACGCTCCGCCGCCACCCCCGCCGGTGTTGTCGGCTCCGTCGCCTTACAACCACGCGCCTCAGGGTCAACCTCCGGCGGCCCACGGCCATAAGAGAGCTGTGATTTGCGGGATATCGTATAAAAACTCGAGGTACGAGCTGAAAGGATGCATCAATGACGCCAAGTGTATGAAGTTCTTGCTGGTCAACCGATTCAAGTTCCCTGAGTCCTCCATTCTCATGCTCACTGGTATATCTTCTCTCTCTCCTCTTACTAACTTTTCCTGTTGAAAATTAATTCCAATTATTTCTAATTCTATGTCTTTTTGATTAGTGATTGTTGTGGATGTTAACTTGGTATTTGGTTCAAATGCATCTTTGAATTTATGTTATAGGATCCTTAATTTGTTTGTCAATTTCCTGAATTAATCACCCTTTGAGGTGTTTAATGTTTCACTTAGTAATTAACTAAAATTAATTTGTTCTGCATTTATTCAAGTATAATTTCCCATATTGTCAAACTTTAGGGATTGAACGTGGGACAATTGAAATTATCCCTAAGAAATATGTAAATCACAAACCTTGAATGCATATGATCCCAGAATTGATCCATTGGTAGCTCTGGAACATGAAATTGTAATTCAATTTCCTAGTACCTCAATTCTCTAGGTCATGAAAGATAAATCCCTTATGAATACCCTAATCCTAGCATGGATGACCTGCCATTGACTGAACCGGAGAGAGATTAGTCGAGGTGCACGTAAGCTAGCCCGGACACCCTTTACCGTTGAACCAAAAAAAAAATTTCTCTAGGTCAAATACTACCCAAGATTGGTTCTATAAGGCAAATCAGGCTTCCACCCCAAAAGGCTTTGAGATAATTTGTGAATCCAAAATTTTCATGATGATTGAGTGGTTAATTATCACCAGTTCTAGTAGTAGTTCTGTCACCAATGAAGTTCACTTACCCACAAAAAAGAGCGATACCTGGTTTGATCCCTCCTCCTGCAAAACAAATTAAAATTCTTAGTTGAATATTCTGATATTCGTCGTTCGTTGATTTTTTTCATGTTAGACTAGTTCTAATAGAGCCCTTTGTTGAAAGTATTATTTCAGAAGAAGAAACCGATCCATATAGGCGTCCAACAAAACATAACATCAGGATGGCAATGCATTGGCTTGTACAAGGTTGTCAGCCAGGAGATTCCCTAGTTTTCCATTATTCTGGCCATGGTTCACAACAAAGAAATTACACTGGAGATGAGGTAGATGGATTTGATGAGACACTTTGTCCACTAGATTTTGAAGCACAAGGAATGATTGTGGACGATGAGATCAATGCGACTATTGTCAGACCTCTTGCTCGTGAGGTTAAGCTTCATGCTATTATAGATGCTTGCCACAGTGGCACTATGTTGGATTTACCATATCTTTGTAGGATGGACAGGTTAGTCTTTGTCAGTTTGCTCTTTATGCTAACAACCCCAAACAATTTTACAGACCACTTACATAAATTGTACCTCTCCTCAAGTGTTTCGACTTTATCAGGAGATTTGAGTTCCTTTTTCTTTCATTCCCCAACTCTTTTCCTCTAAAAATTATTGCCAGTCAATATGAATGCGTTTTAACAGGAGTGGTCGCTATGTATGGGAGGACCATCGTCCTCCATCTGGCGTCTGGAAAGGAACAAATGGTGGGGAAGTCATTTCCTTCAGTGGCTGTGATGATGATCAAACCTCTGCTGATACATCTGTAAAGTTTTAGTCATTCATTGATTTCTTCCTTTATCAATATGATTGAATTACTTGGAATTTTAGTTTCCGCTTGCCTGGAGTAAAAACATCCATAGCTAAGCTTTATTTGGACAGGTTCTGTCAAAAATCACATCAACTGGTGCAATGACCTTTTCTTTCATCCAAGCAATTGAACGTGGGCATGGAACTACATATGGGAATATTCTAAGTGCAATGCGTTCTACTATCCGTAATACAGACAAAAGTGATTTAGGGGGTGGTGTTGTGACATCGCTTCTCACTATGCTTTTGACTGGAGGGAGTCTTAGTAGTGGGATGAGACAGGTATGTCTTACTACCAGAGTTTTGGAGACATATACATTAAAGGCTGGCTTGTGGAAATATACACATTATAATGCAATTATCTTAGTAATTTGTATAAGAATAACGATTCTCTTCAAGCAACAGATTCAAGGTTCAAAACTGCATTTTGTATGCTAATCAAGTACTGTTAAAACCATTCACATGGATAAGCTAAAATAAACTAACATTGTAGAAAGGTTTATCCAACATGTAGTCACAAATAATGCATACATGGAATTGGTTTATCGTTTTATTCCTGCTTGAATGTTCTGTTGAAAACTGTTCTTGTGGGTTGTAACGACAAGCATGACACTGCATGGATATGAAAGCTCATAATAAGTAGGGGGAGTTGTAAAACAGAGCAGCAAAATAACCAAGAAGAGTTGAAATTTCTTGTTTTCTTTTTGGCAAAAGTATAGTCGTAATTTTTCAGTCAAAAGGCAATACTTTTCAGTTATGGATTAACAGCTCAGAAAGAAAAACGATGGCAGGTGGCATAATTTGATAAAAAGTTAGGTCTATAATCCCGTACACTGTTCATAGGATGCAAAATGTATTCTGACTTTCCAAATGTTGCTAACATTTTCAACTTTAGGGTGGCGGATCTCATGTTTACATTATACGTGCATTCAGTGCATCATATATTTGATATTTTTATCCGGGTGCATATCTGAGAATATTAGAGTTAGCATCCTACATGTATTTGTCCGATGCAGTATCTGTTTTCGTGCCTATCTAAAAGCTATACACATTGACTGTACAATCAACTGTATGCTGAATTTTAAGTTTCCTCTGTAATAGCCTCTTAAGAATAACCAACAAAAGTTGCTTTTCCAGCAGCGAACTTTCTGACCTATATGGTCTATGCCTGGCTGATGTTAAACTTTGCTTTTTGCAATTGTTTTCTTGCAGGAACCACAACTGACTGCAACTGAAGCGTTTGATGTGTATACAAAGCCTTTCTCCCTATAACATAGCAAAGCATGATCTCCGTCTGCTGGCCTACAACTTCATTGTGTGCAAAGATTGGATATGTACAGTTCGAGAAAAGGACATTTGATTGATCAATATTATTGTTTCAAATTTGAGTTGGTATCATAACGTTTGACGATAACCTTATTGATGGATTCTTCTAATAATACTTTTTAGCATTAGCAATATCTATATATCTGCATTTTGTTGTAGAGCACAGTGAATAAATGGTCTTCAACAGAAATTAAAGACACGATAGAATTATAGACTGAGTTCGTCAAATACTTATTTGCATACAGAAGACTCTTTTGCAAATCTTGATACTGAATTTTAATATTTTTCTGCTGGTGGAATACCAGATTTCAGTCTACATACAGTACTAATTGACTGATTTCAGAAGTGTCAATTACCAGGTTATGAAAAATGGGTAATCAACCTCTACCTATTTCTCTATACCTACGCTTCTAAATATCCATCTGTTCTTATACCACTCCCCCGAATCATCTTAAGTCAGCCTTGTGCATTTCAAGTGTTCTACAACAAGTATCAAATTTGAACAACAATCCCAGTTTGCATGTTGACATTTATTTTACATGAATATGCTTATCCAATGACTCTGCATATTCTTCATTGTTCCAATTTATAGTTTTTAACTTGATTTGTAGGCAATTGTAGCCAAATCATAACTGCTTGAAAACAAAAGCATGTGTTATTTCTGCATATAACAAAAAAAAAAATGAATTCTTGTCTAAACTTGGATACAAAATTATTGTTTCAGTCTCATTTGACTTTCATTACCTTACCTGTGACCCTATCAGCCACAATTTTTCAAACACCTAGCCTGCATTAGTCGCGTACATGGCTTCTCAGCAGGAAGCATTGCCTCTGGTACCTCGTATTATCTTTGAAAGCCATGTTCTCAAGCACCTGTAACAATTATTTTCATCATATGAAACAGTAAATCTTTTATTGCATATGATAAATTTTTACGGAATCAGAGAGACCAGGAGAGTATAAGGAGAGACCAGGAGAGTATAAGGACCTTCTTCTCATTATGTGGGAGGTTGCACCACATCTCACTCAACCTCTTGCTTGCCTCCCCAAAGGAAGAAGACCTAACCATTCCCCAAGTAGTCATCACAAAGAACGTATAAGAACTAATTGGAAAACTGTGTCTTCTTAGCACCCTTTTCAACACTTACTTTCTTCCTCGACACCCCTTCGTTCCTTGCGCTTAAATTCCCACGCACCAAACCGCCATTGCTAGGATAGTATGTAACCGGGGACAGAACCCCATTTCCCAGTCTTGTCACAATGTTGCACCCTTCAGTTTTTGGGATCCAATCAATAGCATGGCTCTGTGCTTCTGCGTTTGCATTTCGATCTTCATCGACATGGTTTGCATTGGGAGTCATGTATGATGAAGAACTAGAATTGAGAGAAGTTTGATTTTCTTTTGGTATGTGCGTGCAGGATCTTGCACAATATAAAAATGAGAACATATCTCTCTCTTGGTCAACTCGAGTGAGTCAGTTGAGTGACCAACCACGCTGCTTGGAACAGCCTGCGAGGTCCGGTGGTAACCTGGAACGGCAACGGGAGATCCTGGGGAGCGGAAGAACGATCCAGTAAGGCTGAAGAAAGGTTCCTGGAACAAAGAAGAACAAGTTAGAAGGGCGCCGGAGTGTTTTCCGGCGTATCCCCTCCGACGATCTAGTCAGTCTTTGAGAGAGAGAGAGGAAGAAGAAAACACTGAGTGTGTATTATAGTAAAGAGTTTTTTGTTGCATACCGTCTTGCCTTTTGCAAGGAGTATTTATACCTCAAAAGCTCATGATTGCTGTCAGTGTAGTCAGTAGGTGATCATTAGGTACAGGCAGTGTGCGCACTGATTCTGATGAGGAAAGTCTTCTCTTCTTAACTGCTCGGGGTCCCGAGCAATCAATGCTGCATCATCGGGATGCCGACGGTACAGTGAACTCCTCTCGGGGAGGATGCAATAAATGCTCTGTATTAGGAACATTTATTGCCTTTCATTTCCGAGTCTTACCGCATTGAATGCAGTCTCGTCAAGGAAATGGTGTAATTAATCGTTTGTTTTCCCAAGTCGCGTGTCAGCAACGGCATGCAGTTTTTTTGTCTTTGATGTGACATCATATGCCACGCGTCCATCCCCCATTGGCTGTGACCCCTGCATTCCTGTACGTTCTGACACTAATTGTGTAAGACGAGGTCATGATGAATAGCCTAGACTAGCCTAGGCTAATGACCTGTACGTCAATAGTTTATCTTGGAGCAGAGGAGGCGTCCAGGACGGGGTACCTCTCGGCACCGAGGAAAGGCTCATCTCGGAACCGAGGGAGGTATACCGACCGAGGTACCATATCAGACCGAGGCTACGTGTCGGTTGTAAAACGTACTGGATGCCATGATCCCATATGACGAGTATCTTGGGAGCGAGGGACCTTTGTGAGCCGATGGTGCTTGATCTTAGCAACAGTGTTTTGGTAATACCGAGGACACGTGTCTTCATCATAAAGTATTTCAGAAAAGTCCCATCAACTGCCCCTCAGCCTTCGATCTTCTGACACCGAGGGCACGCGTCGTAAGGAGACGAAGGATTTCCCAACAACCACAAATGCTTCATCATTGCCTCGAGCCGCTTTTCCCTGCTTAGGATGTCGTGTGCATTAAATGCGTCTTTTCGTTTTTCGCGCTCAATGATGAAACTGCCACTATATAAATGGGATTCCTCTTCCATTTTCTTGTTTCGCCATTCCGAACTTCCTCAAGAGAGCCTTTTCCTGAATCTTCGCCGGAGATCTCTCTCCTCCCCCATCGTCAACTGCCCATTTTTCCTTAAAGTCTTAAGGCCAACAGACCCATCGTTGTTTCTGAACTTTCTGGAAGGAGTTGCCTAAAGTTTTTCAGAAAAAAACTCCGTTTGACATTCGGGTGAGTCCTAGTATCTTTCCTCTTCTCTTCCTCCTATCCCTTTTTGTTTTCCGATGACTGGAGGTGTCTCCGGTTGATACTTAGCGACTAATCCTCGGGAAGCTTCCTCAGGGATTTTTAAGGAAAAACACCCTCCACTTTCTCACTTTCTTAGAGATGCCTCGTCGTCGCCCTGCTCCCGAGAATCCTCAGGCTGGTTCTTCGGGGTCGGGGAAGTATAAAGTAAAGGGTGGTGAGTAGATTAATAGGTTTAAGGTCAAGTACAGCATTCCCCCGTGCGTAGACATAGAGGATTATGACCCGGTGGTGCACTCTCCTACCCTCGGGGCCGAGGATGCTATGCCCTTTTATACTAAGGCCATAATAGAGGGCAAAATTAGGTTTCCTTTACCCCCTTTACTTCTCCAGTTCCTCTCTCACTTCCGCCTCTTCCCCGGGCAGTGTTGCCTTAATGTCTTCAGAATAATTATGGGGGTCTTAGAGCTCAATAGGCGTCTCGGGGTAAATATTGGGCTGAACGATCTCCTTTTTTGTTATTCCCTCTTGAGAGTCATGCCTCACCAACACTTCTACCTCAAAGCCAGGGACCCCTCCATGTACCTTGTAACTCATCTTCCCGACTCGGACAAGGGTACAAGGACGATATTCTTATCTTCAAGGGATCTTGGCAGAGAGGTGTTGGTCCCGAGTATAACGGCTTGTTATGCCCTTTGGAATGGAGAACGACAAGTACGTCGGTTCCTTCGGGTTTATTATTTTGTTCTCCAGATTTCCCATGTTCATGACTACTTTTTTGTTTGTGCAGATATCCCTGCTCGGGAAACAGCTCCTCCCCCTCGGTCGCTGGTGAACTTTGCCGACCTAGTCACGGTTTGGAGATTTACTGGTGACAATGGGTTCGGCCGGGCTGCCCACATCCTGCTGAATTACACCCCCGGGTATAAGAAATTTTCACAGCTTCCTCAGCCTTTTGAGCCTTCGCGGTGGTCTGAACTCTTCGATCAGGCGGCGAGGCAAGAGGTCGAGGAAAACTTGGAAGAAGACCCTGATCGGGCTTCGGAGGCAGAAGTAGAGGGAGAAGTTGAAGAGCTCGGGGTCAGAGAGGACTTTGTTCCTTCGGACGCCGAGGTGGGGACTTCGGGAGGAGATTTGTGGCCGGACTTCCAAATCCTACAATCTCTAAACTCCGAGGACGCCCTCGAGGTCGCGATGTCCAGCACGCCTCGTATTGACCTGGGGTTCCTGAGGCAGAGGCAAGCTCTTGCTGCCGGGAGGGGACGAGGATCGACCGGCGGCGCCCCATCTGCAGGGACCAGTTCCACCCCATCCTCAAGAGTTCTCAGTCGGGGTCAAGTGCGTGACCGGGATCCTCAGGTAGAGGAGGAGAGAAGGGTCAAACATAGGCACGATGGCCTCGGCAGGGGATCCAGGGCATCTTCCGCTCAGCAGCAAAGCGGGAGAGGCCGTGGGTTACCCCCTGCTCCTCCGCAACAACAGCAACGACAACAGCAACAACGCAGCAACAGACTCCCCCTTCCCCTCCGCCGACAGTGGAAGCCGCGGAGTGGAATCCCCGAGCCACCGATCACATGAACCGAGTGATCAGGGTCGATGACTCCATTTTGCTGGACCCTCATGTCGCCAATGCAGTGAGTGAGACGCTGCATTTCGAGGCCGACATGGCGGCTCACAGGGGGCGATCAACGAACGTGTTGTTTCGCTCTATCATCCAGAATTCCCTGGTGGTAAGTTCATTTTTGCTTTGGTTTCTTCTCTCTCGCTTTCCATTTTTGTGACACGCCTTTTCCCTTCTTTGCAGGCCACCCAACAGATCTCCATAATAGCTGCGCGGTACCATGGGTCTAGGATGGACCTCCAGCGGGCCCGAGAGCAGAAGGAAGAAGCGGAGGGGCCCTCGCCAGAGCTATGGAGGACGTAGCTGCCAGGGATTCTACCCTGGCGGGGCAGGCTGCTCAAATCGAACAACTCCTCAAGGATGCCGAGTTGGCTAAGGTTGGCGCTGAAAAGCTAAGTGCTGCCCTTGCCGATGCTGAGGGAGGATCACCGAGCAGACGCGGCGGCTCTCTGCGGCGGAGGAGAGGGCGGTTGGCTCAGAGAAAGCTGTCTGGCTCTCACCCAGGAGCTGGACAGGATCAGGGCCGAGGCACTGAACAGGAAGTCGAGGAGCAACTCCGAGAAGAGTTCGCCGATGACGTGCTCCCTGCTCTTGAGGAAAACAACAAGGAGTTCTTCAAGAAAGGGTGGGACGAGGCGCTCCAGTCTGCTGGAATCCCGTCAGACTCCCCGCTCTTCCAGATGCACAAGTACGTGCCCTCGGCGGAGATGGAACGGGCCGAAGCAGAGATTGCTGCCGAGGATGAGATCCCAACGCCGGTGCAAGTTTCGGCGGATCTGCCCGAGGCAGTAATAGTGGACTTGTCCGAAGAGGCCCCGCCGGACCATGCCCTGATCCTCATGTTGCTCAAGGTCTTTGTTGCCGAAGTACCTCTCCTTCTGCCTGCTCCAGAAGCTTCTCAACCTTTTTATGCTGACTCGCCCTCGGCTGATATTGTGGAGATGCCCGGGCCAGATGAAAGCCCCTTTTTCTTTTTGATTGTACTCTTTTTTCTTTTGTAGCCTTTGGGGACGCAAAGCCCCTCTTCTTGAAATAAAGCACGAGTATTTTTTCCTTTTTTCGTACAGTATGTTTTTGTTTTTTTTTTTTTTTTTGAACTGTCTTCGGGGCTTGCCCATTCAAGAGGCACGCTCTTGTTTTGCTTCGGGACAGGAGTCCTTGAACTCTGTCCCCAGGGCCTTGCCCTTCCAGGAGGCTTGCTCCTGTATTTGCTTCGGGGACAGGAGCCCTTGAACTCTGTCCCAAGGCCTTGCCCTTCCAGGAGGCTTGCTCCTGTATTTGCTTCGGGACAGGAGCCCTGAACTCTGTCCCCAGGGCCTTGCCCTCCAAGAGGCTTGCTCCTGTATTTGCTTCGGGGACAGGAGCCCTTGAACTCTGTCCCCAGGGCCTTACCCTTTATCTTTGTCGTTGGCAAGCACTTGAGGGAGAGAATACTTCAAAAGTAATATTTCTTTAGATTCATCACATTTCATGGTCGCATTACAAGTTTTCCATCCATGCCTTCTAATCTGTATGACCCGGCGCCCCCGATTGATATCACTTTGTAAGGCCTTCCCAGTTAGGTCCCATTTTTTTTTCTGTTGGATCACGGGTATTGGCGTTACCCTTCTGAGGACCAGATCGCCTATTCGGAATTCTCGCGCCTTGACCCTTCTGTTGTATAGTTGGGAAATCTTCTCCTGATACTTAGTTATCCTCAAGGCGGCTGCCTCCCTTCTTTCTTCCACTAGATCCAAATCCAATCCAATTTGACGGTCATTCCCCCCTTCGTCGAAAGCTTGGTCCTTATGTCGGGAGCCCTACTTCGAGGGGTATAATTGCCTCC